CCACTGTGACCTGGCAGGGCCACGGCCACAGGGAGCAGGTGGCCCAAGGCTTCTCAGGTGGTAGGGAGGGAGAAGGGGGTTTTGGGGACACAAGTCAAGCCTCACTGGAGACAATCCACCCACCTGAAGTGTAGCTTCTCCCTGGAGCCAAAGTGAACACAGGGCATGCCCCAAGCCAAGGCCAGCTCCAACGTCTTGTGCCCCCGGGCAGGCACCCTACAGCTGGCACACACTGCTGCTGCTGTCACCTCCCCCTTCTCTGTTGGGCTGCTTTTACCTGCCGGGGCAAACAAAAATATTCACAAGTGACCAAGGAAGCCCTATGGGGAGGGGCTTGATGATCCCACGCACCCAAGGGGTATGAGATTGTTCAGGCATGCCCCAGCCACCTTGTGACCTGGAGGGCACATCCTCATGGTTTCCAGGAATTACACTACCTCTTATTGAGTAACTGCTTTTTGCAGGCATGAAAAAAATATCTGCCATAGGTGGAGGAAGTCATTAAAGCAGAGGAACAAATCAGGCAGGAAAAGCCACCAGGCACAAGCGGAAAGGGCAGAGCATCCCATGACTTTGTAACTGCATGGCACGCAGGAACCCTGTGACTTTCTAGTGACAGTCACTGTTTCCAGCTTTTGGCAGGGTGCTTGAACTGTGCCCATATTTACAAAAAGCCCTGAGGCAGCTGGAAAAATATATGCTGGTTCTGACATGTGTATCGGGTAAACGCATCAAAACAACATTTTTAACAGAAGCACAGATCCTGTCTATGATAATGACTCTCATGCATGAAGGAAAACCACATTCCAAAAGCCTGGAAAGCCCTGCGTTCATCTAGGCAGGAAACTTAGTTTTCCGGAAATACTTATGTAAACATTTTATTTACACAATTTAAGCTTCAAGAAATCTTGCAAAAGTCCAATGTCAGCATCACTGGTTTGTCAGCATCACCTTGTTCAAGAGCTGGCAGAGACATTAGTCACCTTTTACCACAACAAGTGGCTAGCAGCAAAGCCTGGGAGACACCACTCTGCCTCAAGGCTTCTGCCAGGGGAACCAGCAGACAACTAAGGGTGATACAGGACTATCAAGGGAACACCAGAGATTATAAGGAAACTTACACAGTAACAAGAGGACAAGAAGTGATGGCAGCACCAAATCTCAAAGACCGCTAAAAGCCTGATAGAACTAATCTGATGGGAATTTGGCAATACGAACTCAGGGGCAGTGGCTGGGTATCACCCTGGCTACTTAGCAAAAATGCCAACTGAGAGTGCAATCTTAGACAAACTAAGATGATACTGGCACATGCAACTAATACAGCTGAGAACAGCCCCCAAAACGACACAAACAGCTTTTGGAAGAGCAACAGGAGAGTATGACAAGCAATGGAAAATCTCAACGCAGCCTAAAGCTGAGAGCGAGACATAACATCACCAAGAACTTTTTGTGCTGGCACAGAGGTGGCCAGAATAAGGGAAATCCATCCTTGCCTGGGTGCCCCTGCGACCAGCTTGACCACCACCCGTTCCCCCTCCACCTGTCCCACAGAGGACAGAGGGACTCACTGGCAGGTGAATCCAGCCTGCCGTCCTGCAGAAGGTCCTGCCACACCTCTCTACCCGATCCCGCGGGATTGAATTCCGTGAGGTGGGTCACTCCCGTGCCAGCCTGGAGAGAGGAAAAGCATCATCAGGGACTTCTGAGGAGAAGATGCATGGCCCTTGCCACCAAAACCTCTGGGACTCCACGCTCACACCCCGCACGCTGCCCAGCAATACCAACTCCAAACCTCCTCACGGGCTGTCCTGCAAGCTTCACCCACAGCTTCTCTGCTGGCACCCACTCCAAGGAGAGACTGCCTTCAGAGAAGTCATGTCCCCACTTCTGCTCCAGCGGTCAGACAAGCACAGAGGACTGGTGCTGACCACAATGCGGCATCACACCCATCCTTCACCAGCTGCCTGGAAGCAGGTCCATCCACATTCAGCAGGGCTGTACAACCTCCACGAGCAGAAGCTACTCCACTGGTGCCAGCCCTTTACCTTCTCCCGGGCAGAGATGGCGAGGGTGAAGGGGTTCACCGGCGTGCAGTGGTGCAGCAGGACTCCAGCAACCCGCTCACCCTCCTTCTCAACGACAAAGGGCTCATTCCAGTGCCCTCCTCTCCTGTCCTCCTTTGTTCCTGTGCCATTCTGCATGCTGAACATGATGGAGACTTCCACATCCTCTTCCTTCCCATTCTCCACTTCCCAGATGAACACTCCGACTGGCAAGCTGGAGTCCTGGCAGAGACAGACAACGGTGCGTACTGGACTAGTGCTCCATGGTTAGCTTCAGAGCATCACTTCTCCCACTGATGGGGAGACCACAGGGGATGCAGTGGGACCAAGAGCACCAGGAACAACTCGGAGTCCGTTGCCAAGCCGGGGAGCAGCAGCAGGAGCAGAGGAATTTGGGGGAGATAGGCAATACGAAATTCACATCACAAGCTCTGGGCTAGCAAACACCACATCAGGCATTACACAGACGGAAAGCAGCATTTAAGCCTCAGACGGATGTCTCACCACCCATCTGCTCAACAGGTTGATACAGGCTCACGTGCTTCACCGGGGTAAGAGGAAGGTCAGGCATGCTGGCAGCGCAGCCTGCCGCCCTCGCCTGGGGCTGGGAGTGAGCAGGAACTGCATGCAGGAGCGGCACGGCATCCTTTGCTGCCATCCTGAGCTTCCGCATTGCTGCGGGGGTTCCTCCTGCCTGGGACATGCTGAAAATGTTGGGAAAACCCAGCTGGGAAAGCCCAGATAATAAGCAGCTCTTCCCTTGGAGATGGCAGGCAAAAGGCAACTGAAACACTCTTGGAAACGTGCAGCTGACACATCAATACATAAATGCAGGCTGAGGGTTTCCCAAAACACTACCACCAGATCCTCTGGGCAGGAAGGCCACAATTCTGGACTTGTCATTCCAGGTGGACAGGAGCTGGGATGGTCATGGGACAAAAACCAAAGGCAGGGAACAAGCAATACAAAGAGTCAAAGCACAGGTCAGAGGGGAAAGGAGTGGCTGCCAGAGCTAAACACAAGGAAAAAGCGATGAACCTTCCAGCACCAACAGCCAGAGTAGGGGCAAAGCCTTCCATGGTCCTGCTGCTACACACCTGGCAGCTGGCACCAAGGAGAGGCTCTTAGAACAGAAAAGACCAGGCTGGGGAAGAACATTAACAAGGTAGCCAGCCTGGCTGTCTTCAGGCAATGCTGAGCTGGGCAGGAGGGACAAGGAACAGGATCCTCTGCTGCAGCATCCCTGGACACATCGGCAACACTTGGGGTAAAAACTCATCAGCTCCAAGCCTCTGCCATCAAAATAGGACACATGCAGCGCCACACCGTACAGCCCCGTCTCTGCTGTGCCAGTCCTTTCCCTCTCCCACACAGGCAGCACAACCACATCCCTGCCGACCCACTCCAGAGGAGCTGCGCTGCCACTGTGATCCCCCTCCCATGGCCCAGGCTGCAACCACCCCGGACCCATCACCTCCTTACCTTATAGTCATGAGGGATGACAGGAGAGACCTGGCGGCAAGTGAGGACCACGTTTTGCCCCGGTAGCTCATAGACCATCCAGGCACGGGGGTACAGGGCATGGTAGAAAGCGTAGTGGCCACAGTAGCCCCAGTTCCAGCCCTGCAGAGTGCTGGGTCTCTCCACGGACAAGACCTGCTGGTAAACCGTCTGCCCCTTGCAACGCAGGCACACCGTGAACTGGGGAGGAGAGGAGCACGCAGAGGGGATGAGAGGAGCCCAAAAGTACATGCCTCAGCCACTCAGGCTGTCCCAGCACCGCTTGCACCCCTCGCAGAGCCCGACATGCCTACCTGGTCGGCGATGACCGTTTCGTAGTGATAAATGCCAGGGTTCAGCTGCCAGCGGCAGAACTCTCCCCGCCAGCCACGGGTGATGGTGCCTCCCCCGATCCCACCCAGCGGGCACCCTGGCAAAGACATCAGAAATCAGAACCCTCATTCCTCTGTTGGAGATTAAAATTGTTTACTTGTCTTGAAATTAGGATGGATTGAAAATTGGCTTTCTTTGCTTACCATGAGTGACTTTGCTTAACGTGTGTTAAGGAATACTGGTTGTTTAACCCAAATAAGCAAACTTTACAGAATCACTCTATTTGGTATACTGTTCATTTAACATAAGTTTTCTAGCTAATCTGGCTACTCATGCTAAATCTTTAGGCCATAAGTGTTGAACTTATGTCAAACCTGTATTTAATTACATGAAAGAAGGAGTCAAGACTGTTGCATTCTGTGAAAAATAAAATAGCCACAGTCGCCAGCAAAAGCTGTATCCTGTGAAAAACAGAGTAGCCTCATCCTCAACAGAATCTGCATTCTCAAGATAAGAAAAGGTATAACCAGCTTAGAGACAGGAAAAGAATCCAGTGAGGAACAAGAAGGCCCCAGACACAAATATTATTATTGGATCAAACCACCATGTGAAGGGAGGCAAACTTAGATTATAAGAGTGCAACTGCCAAGAGATTGCCTTTTCAGGGACCCTCCTGGAGGGTCCCAGCTTGCGCTGAAATAAACCAACTCTGTGGCAGAATCTCAAGTCCAAACTCCTCATTACAGTCAGGGGCTAAGACTGATGAGACAAAGAGGGTGGTGAAACACTGGAACAGGTTGCCCAGAGAGGTGGTGGAGGCTCCAACCCTGGAGATCCTGAAGGTCAGGCTTGATGGAGCTCTGAGCAACCTGATGTAGTTAAGGATGTTCCTGCTCACTGCCAGGGGTTGGACTGCATGACCTTTAAAGGTTCCTTCCAGCCTAGCACCACTCTATTATTCTACCACTGGATCCAGCCACACCTAGATTCTTCTCTGTGAAGAAGTTCGGAAAGCAAGGGGGTCCAGTCTGAACCTCAAAACTGAGCCGAAGGGTCTTTCTGGACTCTTCTACAACATCCTCTGGCTCAAGGTGCAAAGCATTTAACAGCCTTCAAACAACATCCTTGTCTCTAAATTGGAGAGACAAAGATTTGATGGATGGATCTCTCAGTGGATAAGGAATTGGCCAGATGGTTGCACTCAGAGTTGTGGTGAGCGGTTCAGCGTCAGAGTGGAGACCAGGGACAAGTGGTGTTCCTCAGGGGCCAGTATCCAGACTGGTGCAACATCTTTGTTGGCACCACTGACAGTAGGATCGAGTGCACCCTCAGCAAGTTGGCCAACGACACCAAGCTGTGGTGTGGTTGACACACTGGAGGGCAGGGATGGCACCCAGAGGGACCTGGATAGGCTGGAGGGGTGGGCCCACGCCACCATCAGGAAGTTCAACAAAGCCAAGCGCTAAGTCCTAGGTCAGGGCAATCCCAAGCACAGATACAGGCTGGGCGATGAGTGGATTGAGAGCAGCCCTGCAGAGTAGTTGCATCCTGGGCTGCCTCAGGAGTGTGGCCAGCAGGTGGAGGGAGGTGATTCTCTCTCTACTCTGCTTGTGTGAGACTTCACCTGCAATGCTGTACTCAGCAGCAACATAACAAAAACCCACGGACCTGCTTGAGCAGAGGAGACCATAAAGATGATCAGAAGGCTGGAGCACGTTCCCTGTGACTACAGGCTGTTGAAGCTGTTCAGCCTGGAGAAGAGAAGGCTCCAGGGAGACCTCATAGCAGCCTTCCAGTATTTGAAGGGGCTACAGGAAAGCTGGGGAGGGATTCTTTATCAGGGAATGTAGTGATATGGTGAGGAGTAACATTTTCTAAATGAAATAGGGTAGATTTAAACATTACGAAGAAATTCTTCACTATGAGGACAGTGAGACACTGGCATAGCCTGCCCAGAGAAGCTGCGGGAGCCCCCTCCTTGGAAGTGTTCAAGACCAGGTTAGATGGGGCTTTGAGCAACCTGGTCTAGTGGGAGGTGTCCCTGCCCATGGCAGTGGGTTTGGAACTAGATGGTCTCTAAAGTCCCTTCCAGTCCAAACCAGTGTATAATCCCCCATGCAGTTCTGGGGGCCCCTCAGCAATGCTCACAACCTGGAAGCTCCTTGGCACACTCCTCTGCCTCTTGCACCTTCACAGACTCGCATGAATCCCTGCCCACTCAGCACATTGGGCATTGCACCATCCCCACACCCAAACTGGAGGCTGACCATAGATCTGCTGCAGAGGAACGGCACACAAGAGGTCAATGAAGGCAGATTTCTTTTCTATGCGTGTCTTCTTGTACCACCACTTGAAATACCTGCAAGAGAAAGAGAGGTATGAAAGAAGACAGAAGCAGGCATCGCTGTCCCTTCAGTGTCACTCAGTAAGAATGGGAATGCACACAAGGATCACCACCATCTCCACGTCTAGAGGATGCCCTGCTAGTGCATGGCCTGCTAAGGAAGGTCTGAAAATGCAGGTCCAAGCCCAAAGTAGCCAAATGCTGCTTCAGGGACATTCTCCACTGTCACAAACAGCCCTGTCACATCCCAGTGCCACATGCCTGGGGGCAGATGGCACAGGGGAGCCTCGCCCTGGAGGAGGTGATGCTCGCCAGCAGGATCCCAGGGACTCATCTCCTCTCGCATGCCGGCTCCGCAGCTCGGCACTGCCCATCAGATAATTTCTCACCCAAAGGCCTGGGAATCCAGAGACACCCAAACAGGGGCACACCTGCACCTGGGTGTGCCGGCACCACTCTGGGCGAAAGGAGCAGGGCTGGGCTCCAAGTTGGCGCTTGTAAAAGACCAGCTTTTTCTAATGAACCGCCTCGAGTTAAATCTTCCATACGGAGACAATTAGCATACGGAAATCAGCTACCAGACTAGAAGAAGCTGCTGAACTTCCTCCAACAAAACGACATGGCAAGACCCGACCAGGAGCTCCCAGGATCCAGGTGCCAGGTGGTCAGCAGGGCACGGCAAGGGAGCCTCCGAGGTGGGAAACACCCCCAAGGTACCTGTAAGCACCCGTGCTGTACTGCCAGAGGTGAAAACCACCCTAGCTGGGAGCACACAGCCTGTCCCACTCCAACAGCTTGAGGTCTGCAGGGCCCTTGCGATGAGCGCTAATCCCCCAACACGCGCACCCGCAGGAGCAAGGGGGAGAGGCTCTTCCATGACAACCCCTGCTCCTCCACGACAAAAACAACTCACACTTGCCCCTTTGGCCACGTGGCCACTGGACGTTCGTCTTTATTCACCAACTTATCTCCAAATCCTTCTCAGGGTGACAGTTTTTAGGCTGCAGTCTCACAGGACCTGACTGCAGATCCCGCTTTCCATTCCCACATAATCACCTTCGTGTTTGACTTTTTAAGGACGTTTTGCCTGCAGAAGTCCAAAGCACCATGAGAACCAGCCTGTCCTGCACAACCGCCCTGAATCAGGCCCTGTCTCTATCTTTGAGCTACATCTGCTGCGACTGCTCTTCTCCCAGCTGAGACAGCCCTGGATTTATGCTGCTGAGGTGAGGTTTTGGCAGCATGCTCTCTCTCAAGGAAATTTTTTTTTCTTTTTTCCCCCAGCGTCAGGGAACAAATCCAGCTGCTTCCCCAGCAGGTTTCTGGTGATGGGAAATAAGGCACCCAGGCAAAGTGGCTGCAGCACAGCACAGTAGGGCATCCCAGCTCCTTGGAACAGAGGGATTTCAAAAAGCTGTTTTTCCAGGAGCACACAGCGTGAGAGGTTTGAGATTTACAGTCAGGCACTGCCCAAGCTGTTCTGCCATCTCAATAGCAAGCTCTTCCCCTGCCAGCTTCCTCTCACGAGCCATGAGGAGAAGGTGGTTGATGCCCAATTGCTGGTTATTAACAGCTCTGCCAGACCTCCAAAATAACCAGGAGAAAGTCTTCGCATTCTGTAGAACCAAGAGCCCTGCCAGGGCTGGAGGGCATTTCTTTCCCTTTAAATTGGCAGCAGAATTAAAACCTGTCCAGACACCACCCAGCTGTTCCGGATCCATGCCGTGACCCTCTTCCCAGGGCACACCAGCCACCTCTGAGGAAACGTTTCCACACCTCTCCTCCTGCCCTGTCAGCCCTATCCATAGCCCAAAATGTTATTTCTGAATTTGAAGCTGTAAGTGTCCCCACGAAGGTGTTACCCCAACAGGCCCCAGCTAACAAAAATCTCACCCCAGGACTGTCATCATCCCTGGCCACGCCACCAGCAGCAGGGGCTGGTGCTGCAGGAGAGGACACCCATCAGCCAGAGGTTTAACTCAACACAACACCATCTCAATCCAGGATGAGGTGGCTGCTCTGCAGGTCCTCGACTTCCTCAGCTGAAGACATGCAGCAGCCTCAAGGTGCTGCCAGACGAGTGTCTGCATCAGGTGACTTTGCACTTGACATAAGAAACCACAACAAACTTTGAGAGCATCCCTGACATGGGTCTCAAGAGAAATGTGAGGCTCATCAGAGGTCATTTGGGAGAGGGCATGCCAACCTGCAAGGCTCCAGAGGTTCAGATCCAGCTGCCATGCCACAGGACTGAACTTCAGGATCCTCTTCCAGCACCAGCACCGCGATTTCCATCACCTGGCTGCCTCTACCGGGCAGACGCATGGGTGCCTGCCAACACCTGGAGCTTCCCTCGGGCTTTAATTCAGACTCACACAGGTACTTCTTGCCACCCTGGCCTCTTCCCCTCCTCTGCTCTCTAGGCTGGAGTCTCCTTGCTCTGTCCTCCGCTAGTACGTTAAGATGACAACCAAATTACCTCCTGAAACAGGGGAAAAGGCAGCAGTTTGACTTCTAGCTTCTTGCTTTTGAGCTTTAAAACCTTTTTCTAGGACTGACACAAGCCACTTCTGCTCTCAGACCTCACGGAGAAGAGGCCAGAAGCAGCCTCCCCAGACCAGCACAGAGGTCTCCCCGCTTACCCCACAAAACTTCATGCTTTCCCACGCACTCAGCTCATCCTCAACCTGCCATGGCAGCTTTTCCAGCAGCCTTTTATCTCCTGCGCTCGACTCATGCTCTCCCTTCCCCGATGCCCAGGCTCGCACTCAGATGTCTCAGATCAGACCGGCACGCTGTGCACCCCGAAGCAGTCCTCTATCTGCCCCTTCATCAGGCTTTGCAGGAACCAGCTTTGCGAGCAGCAACTTCCAAGGACATCGAGCAGGGAAAGTAAAAAAAATAAATAAATTGAAAAAGGCTCATAAAATGGAGGCAGGAGACCTAAAGCAAGCACAAGGAAATAAATCACGCCATCAATGGTTCCAGTGCTCAGCCCGACAGGTACACAGAAACCAGCACCCGGGCAGCAGCTTTAAAGGTTAAAATAAAACACTGTTGTTTCCCACCAGCGTTCTTCCCCAGTCACTTCCAGCTGACCACAACGAGAAGCCAGGCGAAACCTCACCATTCCCAAAACTGCATTTCAAAATCCTCCCGATTAACCCAGGAGTTTAATCCCCTTCTGCCGAAAGGCGCCTTATGCAAGGGGGGCCGAGCACCTGGCACCGGACGGGGAGGACGCGGCGGTGATGGGCAGTCGCCGGGGCGGGACGCGGGG